TTGAGGAGTTCAGCCTTGTCCCCCCTGTCCGTCACCAATTGCTTCTGCCCATTTAGTAGGGGTCCTATTCCTCCCTGGGCCTTCCTTTTACTCCCTATATATCTAAAAAACAATTTCTTGTTGTCCTTTACTTGGGATGCCATCCTCAGCTCCATGGTAGCTTTGGCCCGTCTAACTGCCTGACTTAAAGTTGCTGTGGCTGTGGGTAGTTGTGTGTGTAGGGAAGTAGGAGAGACCTTCCCTCCCCACTTCCTTCTCCCATTTCTGTGTTCTGTGGCCAGGACCATTTTGGTTAGGGAGGAACTGCTAATACTGGCTGCCAGTCACCCTTTTATGTGTTGTGGTCTGTTGTTTGGTCAGGAAGTCAGGGCTTGACAAAAACAGTCTCACCAAGTATTACTCACTGTCTAACTTTCCTAGCCTCCCATTCTGCGGAAAGTTTCAGACTGGCTAACTCCTGTAGCAGCTCACTTGCCTATTTTTTTTCTTCCTCTCAAATTCCCATCAGCAAATTTTTCAGACATAGGCATGACAGTAGCAGTATTGCTGGTTAATATTTGGGAGACAATGGTTAATAGCCATCTTCTTGTCTATCTATCTAAGACTGTTGTTGATGGGAAAAGTTGGCATAACTAAGGAAATAAAATAAAATTATGAAAATAAAAAGAAAGTCTGGGCTTGGCAGAATGAAATGCTATAGCTATTAGTTGGACTTATGGCTATTAGTTGGACCTATGGCTGTGGGAATACAATCCATAGGAAAGGCAGGAAAGCTAAGACATTTTAATCAAGATGGACTGAGGAAGAGAAATATATTTTAGGGAACAATCCCTGGCAGGAGGGATAGTTTAGATGGGCTAATAGGTGTTTTTGCCATGTCATGATCACACTGCTTGTCCCACCTCACCCCAATCCTGTTCCATTTTGTCCATGTAGCCTGAATATTTTTCAGGACAAGGACTTTCTCTCCTTGTATGCTTGGACGGTGCCTCCTACTACCAGCCCCATTCACAGCTGGCCTCTGTGTCTGACTATGATGACTAATAACATTAACAAAACAATTGAATACCATAAAGTCAGTGAAAACAGGAAATTGTGCATAACATGACCAAGATTATTTCTTATAAATAATTACAGACTGGCACAGCTTTAGGCTTTTGGGTTTTTTTACATAAACTTTATTGTTCTAAATAAAACTACATATAATCAAAGGCCTGTAATTATTTAATATTTCAGAGTCTTGTAATATATTTAATATTCGGAGTCTGAATCTTTTCTTTACTGTCTACTAAGCATAATTATTAGCAGGATTCCATGCTCTAATGAGTAACTGACACCATCAGCATCTTTTGGGAATTGTGTTCCTACTGAAATTGGTGAAACTATTGGAAAAAATGAATCCTAACTCTTTACAATTAGGAAGCGAGGCATTATGTGCCTCTGGGAAAAGTCAGCAATCCCGTGTCATGTCAGAAAATGGAGAGTATCTGATAATATTCTCCCAAAGCAAAATGAAGTTTCACTATCAGCATTTCTACAACTGGAAGAGGTCTTATTTTATACTTATTTTTTCTTGCATAAGCATCCCAAGTCTCTGTAAAAACAATGTTGGAGGGTGCTTCAGTGAATAATTTCTATATATCTGAAGAGCATCTGGTTTCAGAAAAAAAAATTGTGAGGTAGCTGCATCTGCTTTAAAAAACTGCAATAGAATGAGTTGTGCTAGTGAAAGAGTACTTGTCAGGTAGGAAGAATGGTATTATTTACAGAAGTGACACAGATTTTATACCCAATGCTTTCCCAGTCTTACATCAGTTTTATTTCAGTGCAACTCTGCTGATGTCAACTGAGTTGCATTAGTTTTACAGGAGTAAAACTCCACTGATGATCAGGCCCATTGCCTAGCAGGGCTCCAGCTTCCTTAGGGTCTCCAATGATCTGCAATACCTACTGCAATTAAAAACAGAAACTGTAGTTCTGAATTACATTATTTGTCCTTAAAGTCTACATTTTCAATTTAGCCAAGCTATTTGCAGTTAACAGTTGTTTTAAAATTAGGCAGGATAAAAAAAAATCCTTAAAAATTGAAGTCAGAATTTTCAGCCTTTAAAAAATAAAAGGAATCAGGGCTTTTCTGGATTTTGGATAGTCCGTAAATGTCCTGAGATAGAACCTGAAAAAATAAGTGAAGAATCAATAAAATTGATTTTATACCAGAAAATTGCATATATACCTTCAGTAAACCACGGTTCCTTAAAATTCCTCCAAATGGCCTTACTTCGTAACCATTTTCAGTAACTTGGCAAGAAAATTACACAAAAATACACGTGCAGTGTAAAAACTGATTTTTATGTTAAACGTGTTACTTAAAGCCAAAGAAGGTATTAATGGAATTCACATTTAAGGACCCTATTCAGTTATTGCTCACAGCACAGTTAATCTAGATACATCTTATTCACATATCCCTGGCTCCAGCAGCACACAGATACTTTAACATGGGTGCAATGGTAATATAACTTAAACTTGCTTGCATCCCTTTTTTTCAATGTCCGTCACATAAGGGGGTTTGATATGAATGACAACCAGGCCCCTTGACTTTACTGGACTTACAGTTTAGTGCAGTCCTAATTTTACCCCTTTGTTGTGCAGTTTGGGCCCACAAAAAATCAAGGCATCCAAAATCACTAGTCACTTCAGCAAAAGTAAGTCCTAGATTCCATTTCGAGAAACACCTATATCTACACTGAGATAATTAAGAAATGGGTCTAATTTTTCAGAACACCTACAACTCCCATAGATTCCTATAGTGCTGCAGGCACTCAGCATCTCTCAGGATCAAACTGTAGAGCCTATAATAATTAGAAGAAAGTCAACTTCTGTCTTTTACTATCTAGTTCAAGAAAAAGAGAATGATGGAATCTACTGAAAACAACACTGCTAAATACTATCACATCATGCTTTTTCCTGGTGTCTCCAGAGTAAGGGCCTGGACACACACCACACTAAGGCTGATATATTTTTGTTTGGTTTTGAAGAGTTTTGTTCACCAACAATTGTGGATACACAATACCTACAATGATACAACGTACACTGTTGTAGTTTTACACTGGTATAGAGGCAGGTTACACTGGTGTAGAGACATGTCATACTGGTGTTAATGCCCAGTGTGTCTAGACCTTTGGTGTTATTTATATCAAATAATGAGATATTATTTGTTTTTTGTTTCAGTATTATGGATTTCAATTTCATTTTAAATTCCACCCCTGCCCATGTTGTTATGCAAGTGCACTCCAAGAAAAAGTGTATGCAAGCACAAAGCAATCTTGGTCTCGATACCTGTGATGGTGAATAGCACGCGGCCCGATGAAGCAGAGTGTAAAAAACGCAAATGCAAAGGCTGGTAAGGACCAGGTTGCTATGGCATAGCCAAACCACTCCATTATCTCCCCAAAGTAATTAGCTCCAGAAACATACGTGAACAGTCCCCCTGCATTCAAAAAAAGTCACAAGTGCATATGAAAGGAACAATAACCCTCATTTTAAGTCATCAACAAAACATTGCAGGGTACGGGACATTACAAAGTCACACTTTTCAATGCCAGAAACCTTAATTTTCTTCATATTGTACCAAGGCACATTAAGGAATAACTGCAGTGAAGCCCACAGAGGCTACATTGCATTAGCAGGAGTGCTGCCAGCAGACTGAGGGAAGTGATTCTTCTCCTCTGTTCGGCATTGGTGAGTCTACATCTGGAGTACTGTGTCTAGTTTTGGGCCCCCCACAACAGAAAGTCTGTAAACAAATTGGAGAGAGTCCTGTGGAGGGCAACAAAAATAGTTAGGGGGGGTAGGGTATATGACTCCCAAGGAGAGGCTGAGGGAACTGGGTTTATTGAATCTGGAGAAGAGAAGACTGAAGGGGGATTTAATAGCAGCCTTCAACTACCTGCAGGGTGGTCCTTATGTGAAAGGTTGGAGCTAGACTGTTGTCAGTGGTGGCAGATGACAGTACAAGGAACAATGATCTCAAGTTGCAGCATGGGAAGTTTAAGATAGATATTAGGAACAACTTTTTCGCTAGGAGGGTAGTAAAGGACTGGAACAGGTTACCCAGAGAGATCGTAGGATCTCCATCCTTGGAGGTTTTTAAGACTCGGCTAGACAAAGCCTTGAGTGGGATGATATAGCTGGAGGTGGTCCTGATTTGAGCAGGGGACTAGATGATCTCCTGAGGTCCCTTCCAACCCTCATTTTCTATGGTTCTATGATTCTACATCAGAGTAAAACTAGCATCAATCAGAGTAGAATCATTCTTAATTCACCACTGTAGCCCGTAAAAGGGCTTGAAGGTGGAGATCAGGAGTTTGTACTGATCAGAACAGATGTACACAAAAAAATCTTTGGATTCGGTGGGAGACTCAACTCTCACTCCCTATGCCTGAGATCAGATCCCTCGCCAGTCTCAACTGTGCAATGTTGCCATGGAAAGTCTTCAGAGTTAACAGTGAGGGAAGGAACTGATTGAATTCTCCCCCACTTATTTGCAAAATTCAGGTAAAGTGCATGTAGTTATTGTGGCTTTTCAATTAATCTGCAGCAGAGGGGAGCACCTATATAGGTGGAACTGTCATTGGTCTTTTGTATCCTAGCCTCTTGTTTTGATGTGTTTTCTACTTGAATCAGATCACACTATTTGTCAAACAGTGTTAAATGTCATGGTGAGGGGAGGGGCATATTAACTATACCCTGTGGTATTTTGTAAGTGGTCTCTCCAGGCTTCCTTAGCTGGCGCAGCAGTAGATCACTGTGAATATTGATTCCCATTCCCAATGAAAACAACAGGATACCTACAAAACAAAATTGGGAAATTGATTAGTGAAGTGGCTCCTGATCTAATTATATCTACTCCAGTGAGAAAGCCACCAGTTGATTGATTTCCCTACCCAAATAAGTATAAATGGTGACAAAACAGCATTAGTTTGTACCAGTTGTGAGATCATAGTGTTACCCACACAGTCACTAGTACAAGTTATAGTCTCTGGGGGCAGAAGTAATCTGAAAAGGGTTGAATGCCCAATGGCCATGAATGGATCAAAAGGGACTGTGCTAAACACACGGACAAAAATACAACTATCCTTTTGGTTGGTAAACAGCATTCCTCTTTCCCCCAATGATATTGCTATATTTTGCATTTAATAGCCAATGGATAAAACAAGTAGACAGCAGCAAGAAGAACTGCTGCCCCACATATACAGGAGCCAGAACCCAGGGGCCCTGTCTTCTAGAACCATGCCCACATGACTAAGGCCCACTCCGTCTGGCTCTCTCTCCTCCTGGTCCTATATACCTTCCTTTCTTGGCTGCCCAGTGGGTCAGCTTTAATAGGAGGGATGAAAGGGGTGCTTAGGAATACCTAGCCTGTGGCCTGGTACCTAGGCTATTCTGCCAAGAAATGGAAGATGTAGGTTTAACCCCTTCTTCTCCCCCCAGGTGAAGCAGGGACTAGAACCTGGGTCTTTTACTCCATGGCTAAGTGACCAAACCACTAAGCTAAAGAAGGGAAAAGAACCAAGTTTTTTCCCCATGCTTTGTGACTTTCTTGGGAAACCAGGTTAAAAGCTACTTAGTTACCAAGCTAAGTTAGTCATGTAAGTGATACTTGGCTGGCTAAGGTTGGATTTAGGCCATGATATAGACCCCAGTCCTTATCCCTCAGTCTGACATGCCCCTCTGCACTGCAGCCTGGCATGTATGTGCAGAGTATCTGAACAGATTTGTTCAGTTAACTGCACCAGATTTGGGAAAACCTGAATCAAGGTGCTCCAAGCTTCCCCTTCTGGCTGTAGATTTCCAGGCATTCCTCTGTATTGTCTGAATCCAGAACATGGCTCACTGATTTCAAACTGAGTTCAGAGAGTAATGTACTCGTTGGATACAACTCCTCTCACATCACAGTAAATTGAGACAAACTCCGCAAAGTCAGTGGAGTTACACCAGTGGAAAACTAGGGCAAGTGAAAATAGAATCAGGCCTACGCTTCTACTCAAAACTTCTGGCAGCCACCTCTTACATCCTTCTGCAGTTTTATGCTCACTGTCCTAAATCATGCAACCACATCTCCCTCTGCTGTCTGATCCCTGCAACTGTACAGCACACTGTTACCATAAGAAAATCTCTCAACTCAGATGACAGCAGTTGGTGCTCCTGATTATCAAGGGCTCGGGTTTTCTCCTTGCTGATTCCCATACACTCTGAACATTACATTCACATAGAACCCGTGAAAGGTACTAAGGGCACATCCAGACAAGTGCAGACATTTGGTTCTTCGGGGACAAATAGCAGTGGTGCACCTTGCAGCATGAAGAGCGCCGGACTGTGCGGTATGTGGCACTGCAGACATGTTTGCACCACATACCATATGTCCGGGCTTGTCTGGACGCACCCCAAGAGTTTTTTAGACCTCAGAAAACAGCTTCCTGCAAACAGTGATGTTACATGACATTAGAAGAGTGTTTTGCTGGAGATGCCATTGTACTATTCCACCATAACTAAATAACATTATCTCATAAAGCTAAGCTGAGGAAACATTTTCACTGAGCCATGGGTAAAGATAGCTAAAAACTGGAAGCAGAAAGGCTATTTAGTGCTACTCAGAAGAGGACTGCACAATACCTATACAATATTGATTCCAATGATAAGCTATAAATCACATTGGTAATAGTGAGGAGAAAAGTGGTAAAACTTTTCCAATGTCAGCTACTTTCAAAACCGCTAACAAAGCATGTATCCTCTCTTTCTGCCTCTTTACCCTATCTGTAAAATGGCACTTGTGATATTGATCTCTGTAGCACAGTGTAGGAATGCTTGAGCTAGCTGTAAACAGCTTGAAAATGGAGATCCACATTCTACTGGCCTATTGATTTAGTTATATTATTGATGATTTTAGAACTAACTGTCTTAACTTTGCATTCCAGGACTCTTGATGTCATGGGATATGATCCTTTGTTTTGTATTTTGGGCCTGGTTTTGATCTCAAATCCCTGTAAATCAGAAGTACATCCAATGATTACCCCCTTCTGTGTGCTACTGCTCATGTACTGCACCACCGCCCTGGTTTTGTCTGTCTCAAAACCATGCATGGTTCAGGCAGTGAAAAAGGCAGTGGACCAGGAATCAGAAGATCTGTTCTATTCTTGGTATAAGCTCCATGCCCTGGCCTAAACTGCAGCAGTTAAAGTCCAGAGAGATTAAATGAGCACTTGTCAGGTGGAGACAATGTGTACAAAGTCTCTGTGCAGAGAACAAAACTAGGAAAATCTACGGACATTGCCAAGAAACACCTACAACAAAGGTTTGTAAATTACTGATCTTGGTCATCAGGTTTCTTAAAGCCCTCAGACTTTTGGAAGGCTGGATACAGGACTAGCTGGGTGCACTGCCATACTTCTGTTCCAATTTATGAGTTACCTGCAAATGACCCTAAAAAGCACCTTACAGATTGTACTCCTTGCATAGGGCAGTGCATGGGGCTGTGCAGAACTGGGCAGCTGCTAACTGGAAGGGTGACTGCTTAGGGATGTGGGCAGGCAAGTGCTGGAAGATCTCTGGGTTGTACAGACAGCTGGATGCTGCAGTGCCAGGGTGTTTGGGAGCAGATGGATGAATATATGTTGCAAAGTATCTGCAGTTAATGGATAGGTGCTACAGAGAATTAATGACAGGTGTCTGAGCACTACTGAGTGGGAATCAAGGATGGTGGGAGAGGGGCTGTTAGCTAGAGGGTTTTTTGGCAGGGAAGCAAGGAAAGAAGCCAACTCTCCACAAGGATGGGTAGCTGGAGGCCAGAGAGGGCTATCTTTTTGTTTTTCTGTGGGAATCTGGGAGGGTGCCTGTACACATGCAGGTCACAGCAGCACGTTGGAGAAGACCTGATTGAGTCTGCTGGAGCGTGCTAATTACTGTGCTCCAGCAGCCTTCACATCTCATATATCATCATCCTCACACTTCAAAATGGTGATGGGCAGGGCTTTTGGTTTGTAGCCGTGTTGGTCTAAGGACATAGGCAGACAGGGTTCTTTGGGTAGATGTGATATCACATCTACCCAAAGAACCTTGCCTGCCAATGGTGGTGGGGGGACCTTTAACAAAACTTTTTGAAATAGGTTTTTTTTAAA